GTGTTTTGGAAAAAACTATTTTTTCTATTTTAGTTGCACGTGAAATAGAAGCGAAGTAAAGCCGGATGTTGGTGCAGACCAGTTCAAAGAGACAAATAAAGCGTGAGACACGTCAAGATTGGCTTGCGACAAGAATTCCATTTTTTTTTTCGTACTGGAGTCCCTTCTCCCCTGGGGAGTGTCCAAATTGCGTACAAATGCCCTACCCTGCTGGCACCAGATTTGACTGTCATAAACAGTGAATTTTTTTATCTCGCACGGTCTTTTGGGGGTCTTATAAAGCCTAACTGTGGCACTAATGTTCCCAAGTAGAATTCAAAATACACCACACTTTCACATTGAGTTAGATATTTTTCTCAAACAACCGCTTCCATATGTTTAACACCCTTCCCACATTCCCTCCGAGAGATACTTCAACTGTAAGGTATATTTTCTCGTCCTAGACATCGATCTCGGAAGGGCCAAAACCAGTTTAGTGCCCAGCCGTCTGCCGTGCTGAGGCAGGCAGATGTTGAATTATGGACAGACACGACAATTAAGTTACAGACATTTGATGTCCCGGTCCGTGCGTGGTCGGAAGACACCCAGTAAATAATGCCTATGGGGTTGCCCAAGGAAAATTTGGTTTTACGAGAGTCGAACTGCAGGAGGTCTTTAACGAGGAAAAGTGCGGACACATCTACTTTTTGGAGTGAATGTACTGCATGCAATTTTTAAGTTACAATATACTATAGATAAATCTAATTTGTTTCTAAAGTTCCTCTCATACTCCGAGTAGCTTAGGACATACAGGGAACGCAGAGATCAGACCATTGCATCACGGAAAATTCTCAATAAGACTGTCATCGTAAGAAGTGGTCGCGGTCGCTTACTGGATGTGGATGTGTTCGTTTACAGGAGGTTCCAACTACAAGCGCTTTGACTTGATAATATATTTGGTGTGTTGAATAAGTGATCGCTTATTGGGAAGTGGTCACTTAAGTTGGGTGGTCGCACGTAGGTTCGACTGTGCCTCGTTAAGCGAAAATTTGTTAAAATGTAAGAGAAATCAGGGGCACCCAACGGGAAATTTTGAGAAAAAGACCTAAAAACAACAACAAAGCGTGAATAAAGTTTTCTGAGACTATTTTAAGCATTTTGGGAGATTGCTGGAAAAAAATTATCTGTTCCTCACTCCCAGCAAGACTGATGGAAGAGTTCCCAGCCAGCAACCTTACAACCTGCAACCTGACTTACTGGGAAGTTTCATAGAGCACAATTCAGATCTTGAGTGGTAAGCAACCCATACAAGTAACCCGTAGCAGCTATTCTAGACTTCAAATCCCCTCTGACACCCTGAATTATCTTTTTCGCAGCAACACTTTCCTTCCAAGGACTATTATTTCTTCCACATTTCCCAGCCAGCAACAATTTGCATGAAGAACAGATATTTTGAGGAACAGATCCGTTGGGTGCCCCTGAGAAATCCTAAAATTGTAATACAGTGGAAGCTCTCGTACGAGGGCGCCCTCGGGACGAGAAAAAGGTGTCCTTAACTGGTTCTGGCCGCTTACAAGAATGAATCTCATATGCAGCATAGTTATGCAAGTGGAATTCAGCCACTTTAAAAGCGGTGTAAAGGTTAGATAGCCGCTTACGGAAGCTCCTCCCAGCTACAAATTAACACTGGTAATAGCAAAAAACTGTTTTTTAGTGTATGGTTACGCTGATGTTCTTGCCTTGTTGTAATTTAGGTAAAAGCATACAATTCAGTTTTTATTTTCAAGTGTAACCGGACGAGTATGTGAAAAAACGGTAACTCTGAAATGGATATATAAGAATGATTCATAACAGTGACAAACAGCCATATGACTGTGGACATGATATGAAAAAAAAAAAAACAACAACATTCAGAGGCGGATAAGATTTCTTTCGAGTGTCTGCTTAGGAGAGCTTTAAATCAAAGCTAACATCTAATTCGCCGGTAAACCCTTTAAGTGTCCGCGGCCGCCTACGGGAATGTAAAAATACAGAGTTTGCGAATTGTGTGGGAGTTGAAACGGGATTTTGTGATGGCGGTGGTAAGTAGAGCTATTCGCTATATACGAGAGTGTCCGTTAAGAAAACTTAATCTAGTGTATGAATCCGCAAATGACAGCTTAAATGAGAAGTGAATATAGTGTATTAGTCTGTGTTCAAGAAACTGTTCTTTTACACCTTCCTTATAGCCAAAGAAGTCTAACCGACTTTTTTGCAATGTATTAGTGCCCCCTTTTGGGTCTTTTGTATTCCTCAGAAGTTTTTCCTCAACACGTTTATAAACGGTTATTATTATATTTTTGTAGTCAATAATATACCCAGATACAGATACCAACCTGTATAGTTGTAAGACTACGAGGATTAAAATACAACTAAGTAAGTAATTATACGCAGTGGCAAGGCATTAATTGTCTAAAAATTGCATGGCACGGTCTGAATACAAAAAGGGCTATTATGGACCATTATTATCATGGTAATTAATGTCAACATCGAATAAACTCAAAATTTGAAGTAACACGACTTTCACAACCTATTTTCAACACACCAGTTATAACAGGATTTTGGCGCGTACAACAATAGATAGCGTATTCCGCATTCCGGAGTCCGGTAGTCCGGCGTCACACATTCCATCCTTTTGGCAGAGTCTAAAGATGGAGGGTGTTCGAGCAGGTGGTTGTAGATATAGACAGACTGTCAGTGATCCTTCTTGTCCTTTGAGAATGATTTTGTTCTTTCTGACTACAACATTTTTCAAAGACTTCGAATGTTCGGTGAAAAGCCGACACTTTTTATTCTGCAATGTTTCAAGATGTTTCGATTTCATTACCTCGTCAAGAAGTAACGCCACAAAGGACCAGACGAAACTGGAGCAGCAAGTCTGGACTAAAGCACCTGAGAGACATGTATGTAGCATTTATTCGCTATCTTTTATCGTTGTTGGGTCTTGCTTCACCTGCAAGTTGGACCGATCGAAGTTTTGAACTAACTCTTTTGCTCCTTGTGTTTACTCAAGCGTTCCATAAAATATCCATCCAAACGTCCATAAATAACACAGAAAACATGCCTCAGGTGACACGTTCTAACAATTCCGCTATTAGTATCGATAATGACGCATCTGATTTGTGACTTCTCGTCAACTTTGTGCTATTTTTGTTTAAAAAAACGAATGTTACGTTTCTTGCAATTTTGGTCAAATGACAAATAAGCGTCAAGTTAGATGAACATAATACGTCATTATTGATAAAGTATGAGATTGCCCAAATATTTTATGATTGATTTGATAACCTTAAAGATGTCTTTCAAAGAATATGTGAGAATTAAGTACATAGGTTGTTGCTCATGGGAGATGTTAGCCACTAAAATACCTTAAATTTAGGGTTTGGTCAAAACAGTGAGAAGATGTCCTTACTTTAGGCTAAATAATAGGAAGAGATCGAATTAGAGAGTAAAAATAAGTTACTGAGCATTAAGTTTGATAAACATAGAAGATGATAAAGTTGATTAGATTTGAAGTTGTCTTCTCTTCTTGCTGAACAGCCAAACCAAAGTCAGCTGATTAATTATGCAAAAATGAGTAGATTTTGTCGTTTTTAGAGGGGGTCCCTGTAAATCCAAGGGAATTCAATATTGCGACCTTATTTTTTGTCGAGGTTAATATCTCACCACACCCATCAATTGTGCCAAGTTTGAGAGAAATCCGTGATTTGAGCATTATCACCTCCTGCCTGGTTCTCTCGTGGATACACTCTTAAAAACGGGTCCCATAAAATAAAAGGAATTTGCAAGTGCTGGGGTGACCTTTTTTGGAGGGTAACCCCAGCGCTGGGGTTATCCTCCTCACTAAAAATGTGAAGACGCTTTTAAAGTTTTCCTTTTCGGTGTTTAAGTCACTGCACGAAAAATAAGATTAACATCATATTTAGATGCTGAAAAGTGCAAACTAGGAAGAAATCAGGGGCAACGATAGTAAATACTGCATTTGCCCTTGAATTTGCAACCCCATCGACGCAAATGCGGTATTTACCATCTTCACTCCTACCGTATTTATTCGATTAAACACCGCCCTCGATTAAGGGCGGCGGATGGAAGCAAAATTATCAATAAACGTCGCCCTCGAACAAACGCTTAAAAGAATGCGGCGTCTATTCGAGAATAAGGAGAAAAAACTCGGTACAACTTGGAAATCTACACAATCCAGACAATTACAATTCTATCTCAGCAAAATAAAAGACACACTGGAACCTTTAAAGTACATAATTTTTAAAAAACGACTTACACTAACTGTTGTCAGTGATTTAAGACGCCGCCCTTATATAAACACCGCATCGGAAAAGCTGAAATATTAAATAAACGCCGCGGCGCTTAATCGAATAAATACGGCAATTTCCTTGCACATTATACTTTTTTGCACCATATTTGCCCCGAAAAAATTTGATTATCTATAATTTTTCGTGCAGTGAGTAATTGTTCACCTTTAAATGAAGGCATATTATATTAAAGAGTAAAGAAGGTTGACTGGAGAGAGCTGTGTACTTTCAAAAGTTTAATACTAAACTGAGCAAGTCAGGCAACTGATAAAGAGGAGTAGTAGGACATCACGTTACCTTTGCAGCCAAACTTCTCGATCACAACAATAAGGGAGATAGGGAGCTTAAGCAACGACGACGGCGCACGGCAACGAGAACGGCAATTTAAGAAAAACAACAACTTTAGGCTCGAGCGTCACGCTTTATTGTACATTTCTTACATGAAACTTTTCACTCGCCTGCTTCGAGGGAGTAGGTGAACACAACACAAATTTCGCCTAAAATTGACAAATGAAATAAATTCAAATAACATCGATGAAATTTGAAACAGTGGGAATTCAATTTTTAAGAGACGTTTTCGGTTTGTTGTCATCCAGGAATTTTGCTGCCATGAGCAATGTGATGTAATGACTTCTCCCGCTATTAGAGATCCCTTTAAAGGCAGCCTGTTATTTTTTTCTCTTTCTGAAGTACGACTGCCAGCTGACCGGCTGTCTGAATGGAGGCTCATGTATTTTTTCTGAAGTTTCAAAAATCTTTCACTGCGTTTGCAAGGGAGCATGGATTGGCGAATGTTGTAAAGGTATTAACCCAGCTATCTGTACAGTTGTCTACTGAGCATAAGAATGAGTGCAATAATTTAAGTGATAATAGTTAATAAAATGCCTAGCTCCTAGCTAAGCTCCTCCTATGATATCTCCGCTCCGAGTTATAACGCATGGCTCGAATCCAACTGACTCTTATCCTGGTTTGAAGTTTAGCAGGCAGTTTAGGCACTCACAACCGACAGGGCTATTGCCTGAAGTGACCATGGCTAAGAAATTAAAATACCGTATTCATTGGGCTATAAGCCGATCTTAGCTATAAGCCAAGACCCTAAACTTTGAACTCATAGAATCAGCATAACCAAGAACGAAAGATAAATCCAAAACACCTGGCTATAAGCCGAGACCCATTCGTTACAAGACTTTTAAATACTGTAAAACCTAATATTTTCGAAAAAAAAAATGGGACCTTCTCTTAGAAAATGTACAATTGTTGTTTAGTTTTTTCGCTGTAACGAGACAAAAAAAACATCTTGTAATAGGGTGCCAGACGTGTTTTGTCGCCAAACATTTGAAGTTTGATAGCCTTTAAAGCAAACTGTCTCGCCAAAGGTAAGTTGTTTATCTGGTTTATTTGTTTTTGATCAGGGCGTTCCGCTCCAATTTCATTTTTCACAACTTTCAGTCACATCTCTCGCTCAGAAACAGCACACTTGCCTCCAAAAATTATTCTTAACGTCTAAAACTCTTGCAGGGACTGATTTTGTTGAGCAAAAACAAATTAAGTCGACAACAGCCGCCTACTCCAAACTTCGAACGTTTGGCGCCAAAACATGTCACTTTTGCACCTAATTAGAACATGTTTTTTCCTCACGTGTACACGCTTAGATGCAACCGACAGTATAAAGGGCCGCCTAGTTCAAAGGTAAGACGCCACAAAAACGAGAAACAGTATGCGGAAAACATCGTGAAAGGTTCCCAAAAACTCAAATAAAAATAATTGTAATGATGCTGATGATGCTGATGATGAATCTGTCTTATAGACTGGAATCACTGTTCGGAAAGTCCATGTGCCAATGGAGGCTCGTGCAGCAATCTTGCTGACGGCTACAAGTGCAGCTGTATTAAAGGACGATTTACCGGCAAACTTTGTGAACAAGGCGAGATTACAACCTACTTAGTTTAGCAATAAAGTCACCTCTCTCCAAAACGGACACCCTTGGGACCTGCGCTATCTGTCCCTCTTGGAGAGATGTCCGCCTTATCATGACACTTAACTATAAAGAAAGGGGGGACCACCTCTAGGGGTCCGTTTAAGCGAAGTGTACGTCTTGATAGAGCGTATTCACATGACGTCACGGCGGCCATATTGGTGTACCATGACAACCCTGTGGGAATTGAACTCCTTTCTTATGTAAAAACTTTCCTTTGTTCGTATAAATTAGCATAGACGCTGGCCACTTGAGTGAATACGCTCTATAGAGGTGACCGTTGGCGTAAAGAGAGGTTGACTGTATATACCGCTAACAACTTCTGATTGTTTTTGTTTCATTGTTGTTGTTGTTTATAACAGGGCTCAAATCTCCTTTTAATTCATAACAGGCAATTTGAGCCCTTAAATGCGTAAAGGAAAGATTTAACGACAGTTTAAAAATTTCAGAATTTAAAAGGACTTGTATGGAAAACCATTCAAGCGTGAGTAGGTGGCAAGAGTTGTTTCTCTCATACAAATCCTTGTGATATACAGTTTAAAATTTACAGATTACCTAATTTTAATATGCTCTCTCAAAAAAAATTTTTCAAAAGTGAACTATTTTCAAAGTTAACAAAATTAATAGATGCAAGTGCACGCATGAGCGTCAGATTGATTTGTTCGACATGTCGATTAAGGTCATGCTTTTCCAAATTAATGTACATAGACTCTTGAAGCATAGCCTGTTATGTACATTAAGTGGGAAACGCCTGACCCCAATCAACCGGTCGAACTATTTTCGCGTTTACCGAAAATTGATCACGTGATCAACTAATGCAAAAAGACCTATTAGCGCACGAAAAGCAAAACATCTTGACGTCACAACCTGTTTACATACTCTCATGCAATTGATGCAAATGCGCCTCTCGGTCAATTAGAGCGCGCGTACTATCTTAGTTATTTTTTAAAATGTCGTCATGGTTATAATGTTTGTAGTCACATATATGCTTTTTCTCTTAGTTTGCCCAGTCCCCGTCGGAATGGAAAGTAGAGCCATTTTGGACTCCCAGATAAGTGCTTCATCAGAATGGGCCAGCAATCATGCCGCACAACAGGGAAGGTTACACTTTGTAAAAACTGTTTATAGAACTGGTGCCTGGTCAGCTAGGTCAAACGACTTAAACCAGTGGCTACAGGTCGATCTTTTAAATACGACTCGAGTGTCAGGAGTAGCAACTCAAGGACGGAACGGATGCCCTTGCGATCAATGGGTCACAAAGTACAAGTTACAGTACAGTGAAGATGGGCAGGCGTTTAAGTTCTATAGGAGAAGCGGAGATAAATCAGACACGGTGGGAACAAATAAAACACCTTGCACCAAAACCCTATTTTTGAAAATAATAATAATAACAATAATAATAATAGGCCTTGTTCAAATTTACCTAACCCTACCTCTTTGAACAGGGAGGAAAACACCCAGTCTAGCTCTTGGGATATGTGAATTTCACCAAAGCTATTTTTATACCCATTACACGCTTCTAATTAATCGGAAGTTGGTGTCCGCAGAGGTCCGCAAACTATTATTCAGTGTTGTTAAAATAGAATTCAACAGTCGCCATTACAATGTTTTGCATTGTTTGCTATGAGGCAGTTGCGCTTGGACTTGTTGACGTCTTCAACAATCGATTGAAATATTCAGACGTTCCAGGAATTGGACTTCCACTTGGAAACAACCTTTAAAGAAAGTTTAAGTAAAATTCACACATCCTGGCCAACGTCCTAAGATTTGCTCTCTGACATGAATCTCTCTTGATAACTCACAATAACTTCAGACAACAGAAGCAGATAGTTCGTCTGGACAAGTTTTTCATCTTTTCGCTATCTTATAAGACACGTACAACCATCTAAACAAATAAATAAATTCATCTTACGTACGTTTGTTTTCCATGCACAGATTATCCATCTCTCGCCAGTACAATTCAATCGTTTGTTGGTGTTGCAGAATTCAAGTGTTTCTTGTTGGTTTGTGATGTGGTGTGGTTATTGTTCAGCGTCTATTCACTTTTTTGTATTACGTCATTTGGTGATTGCACCCGTCTGCAACACAAAGAAACTACCACCGTTCGTTTATTATTGGCTTGTATTTTGACCAGTAGTGTTAAATTGGCCATTGAGTCTTGAAGATTTATTTTGCCAAGCAAACAAAACATTAGTCATTTCGAGCCCAAATACCAAACTATCGTATTCTGTTAAATCTCATTCAGGTTTTTACGGGAAACGCCGACAGAGATACTGTTGTGAATCATCAGCTAACTCCCGTGATTAAAGCTCGTTACATTAGACTACATCCTGTGGAATGGAACAGGCACATATCTATGAGAATGGAACTCTACAGCTGTTAGCGTAAGTAGAGCCTAAAATCAACTTGCTGTTCTTGCATGATACTTTGTCTCATACATTTCTTTTGGTTCGTGGGGCTGCCACCTACTCAAAGTTATTTTTTTCCCTCCACCTCCAGAACGGACAGTGAGAACGGAAGGAAATAGGACTTGCATAACTAATCCCCCAGTGATTCTAAGCCACAGATACGTAAGTTAGCACTTATTCCTTCGACAACATGAAATTTTCCGCTCCATTATACTTCCTCTCCCTCCCCCGCCAAAAAAAAGCACTATTCCGTTGTTCGAACTTGAAAATCGCCGTTATCAATTATTCCATTTCCACCCCCAATTTTGGTAACGATATGGTTATTAAACTGGTCGGAAACCCGGAATGTGGAGGGAGGAGAGGCTAGGAGGGGGGGAGGCGGGTACATAATTAATCAAATTCTCTCTCGCTAGTCACACCTAAGGCATTTGATCTTTACTGTTGTCCCTTAATGTTGTTGTTGTTGTTTTTTTTTCGGAATACCAATTACATGTTGGTCACTCTCAGGGTTTGAGGCCTTTTATTTCTAGCTACTGGACAGTACAAAATGCAGACTGCAGACCATTGTTTTCAGGATTAGAAAGCAATGGGACTATTCTTTTCTCGCAGTCATTTGCATAGTGAAAACAATGATCTGCAGCAGTCTGTAGTCTGCATTTTGAATGGACTGTTCTAGCTACAAAACCTTCTGGATCATATTTTGGCCCACAATGATTATCCCCTCTTCATTGTCACGGACGATGCGAAAGCATAGTATTCTCCTCTTCCTTTCAGACGGGTAAATTGTTATTGAATCTGATTTCCTGCCGCCTACACTTCAACTATTCTACCTTTTTTTCCGCCCAAAAGGAGTCGCAGATGAGACTTTGGAAAAGGTGAAGCAAGCAACGGTTGAATGCCCTCTGATTCAACCTTTCCTCGGTTCCAGTAGTTTCAGGTCGACTTTCATTGCCGCTCTGAAAACATGACCAATTTCAGCACTGAACAACACCAACCAACTCCGCGGTATGGCCCGTACCTTACGCATGCGCACAACCACATCACCCAGGGAGTGGCAACCCTTATTGGGCCTAATCAGCATGGCATAGCCATAGGGCATATGAACGAACAAAGCCGTGTAGGTGGTAGGCGTGCTTCAGGACTAACATGGGTATTGTCAGACCTATGATGCAGAAAGCAGTGAAAACGAGGGACTTAACTCACGTTTCCTATTCTCTCCTTAGCTCAGGCTCTTAGTTGCATCATGGGTAAACAGAGCAAGTTGACGGGAAATTCAAAGGTTTGTATCAATATCACAATTCAAAGCCAGAGAATTCTTGCTGAATTAATACATTGAGAAAATATTAGTGGGCCTTGAATACCGCTAGAAACCTTTGAATTTCTTGCCACCTCGCCCTGGCCCCAGTTGTTCAAACGTTGGATGGCAGTATCCATCGGATAAATCGCTATCCAGCGTATAAGTGTTAAGCAATCCAACTGCATTATCCAGTGGATAGTCCTAACCACCTTCTGAACAACTGGGGCCTGATAAGGAAGAGTAAGTAGGCTATGAAATCCAATAGAAAAGTTTGGATTTTCTGCATTACCCATGATGCAACTGACCATGAGTTAGTTCCAGTTCATTAACCCGAATATAGATATGTCCCTTCCCCTCGTGATCTATATTTCAACGAGGTAGGTGACGGACGCGTTGGGTGTGTTTCCCCACAGTCACTTTAAACCTACCACGGTAAATGAGACAATAGCTTGTATTCACTTGTATTTGTGTACATTAGCTCTTTACTTGCAGTTAATTGTTGAGTCCTTGTATGTACAACACCTTAAACACAACTACAAAAAGTTTAAATTTTTTCTCTTGACTAGCTCACACAATGCTGAGGTCAAAACTATTGGAGCAGTAATGCTTTTTTTATGTGTACTTCAGTTGACAACTGACAAACAAAATCAAGTACCCAGGTCTCTTACATTTCGATCTTAAAAACCTGGGCACCAGGAATAGGGTATCAGTCAAAATCTGGAAGACGATGTAATAGACAAATTTCGATACATTACAATGCTGCAAGGTTTTTGGGAGTAAAACAAAAGAAATGGACCATTTTCCAGTATTCATCCCTCGATCAACATGAGCAATTTAGGGGTGGAGTCAAGAGGGTTTCACTTGCTTGGTCGCATTGAAGGACTAACAAGGAAAAACTAATCTCCAGGCCCCAGTGGATAGTGCTTTCTACCTTTTTTACAACTGGGTGCTGGTCTCTATTGTTACATCTAAGATATACGAGGGAAGATTAGTTTTAGCCTCAGCATTGAGTGTTGTGAGTGAAAATGTGCTGTCTTGATACAACGGATCAGAAAAGAAAATAAATTTACTCTTCTACATCTTATCTGCAAAAGAAGTCATGTCTCTCTCACAACCACTAGGATTACATAAGGAGCCAAAAGCCATTTCCGAGTTCCAAAACGGGGTTAAGAGCAAAACCTTTTCAAAATCATTTTCACGTCAATCACTTCACACTTTGCCTCACTTTGAAACAGAGGCTCAGAGCAACTCCGAAATGGCCTATAGATTACTCATCTGACCACTGAAGAATGATAATAATGATTGGCTTATGTAATTAGAATTTTTAAAAGCTATTATTAAAATTAATTATTAATATCTACATTTTCATATTTAAAAACGGTGCCATTCAATTGTGATAGCAACCTTGTCACAAGTAAAGCCACATTGGTAATGATTATTAAGGTAGACTACAATATAAAGATAACTTAGAGTGATTTTACTTAACCCGTGATATAGGAATTGGAATACTTAAGGCACTATTATGCACTAATTCCATTGTCTTCTTTTGTTTATTTGTAGCTATTTTGCACAAGTTGTTATTATCTTTCTCATGGTTCAAGTAAAATCACTCTAACAGTACTGAACCATTGAAAATAATACGTCATTTGTAAAATAATCAAATAAACAGGAAAGCACAGCCAGAAAGCATTCAAAAAGAATACTGTTACATCTTTAATTCCTATCTAAACTTAATGCGCTTTTCACAAACACACAAATTCTGAAGTCCAACAGGCAACTGATGTTTGCGTTTTTTGCTGCTGTCAATCATCTTAGCAGACCTCTTAGGAAACAGAAGTTTACATACTCCAACGTGTTCAAAAAGTCATGGTTTGTGATTTGAGATTGGTGGATTTTGATCCGGGGGGGTACTGCCGTATGTGGGCTATATAGGTATGTGCCGCTGTGAAGGGTCTAAAATAGGGTATCATTTTTCAGGAAATTGGTCAGTTGGTTGAAGATTTTATCTAGACTAGGGATTGTGGTATAAGGGTTTGTTTTGGCTAGACTGTGCTAGTAGCCTCAGTAGTTTCTGGAAAACAGCTACTCTAGGATAGGGGGCACTTGGGGAGTTTACTCTAGTATAGGGTAGCAAAATTCAGCTGAACTAGCTCTGGTATAGTTTAAGGGTTGCAGGGTCCCAGTGGCACATTCCCACACAGAAATTCCTAAAGTACCCCCCCCCCACCGGGATTTTGATCTGTTTTTGTTTAGTGTTTTTCAGGGTTTGTTGCTTGTGATCGTAATTATAATTGGGGGCAGCGAAAAGATGATTCCACATTCTCATGCCAAAAACGATGTCTTTTCCAGCCGGAAAAGTTATAGTTTCTGTAGATATAAAAATTCTCACACCTTTATACGTTACTGTCGTCCACATAACAAGGTGTTACATGACACCAACAAAAAATATTTTTTCCTGATCCCTCATGTAAATCAAACAATAACTCATCATTGTTTTATTCAATCAGGGAAATTTAACAGCATAAGCTGATTAATTTTATCATAACTATTCAAATTCCCAATACAGCATGCATGTAACAAAAAGTTCAAGTCAAATTTGCAGGGGAGATGGTAGAAACCAAGAGGAGTTGAACTGACTTATAACATCACCTTTATCCTCAGCCATGCTTGTAAATAGCCAACTGGTTGCCTTCTGTCAGTTGGGGTTTTTAATCCTGTTATGTTGTATTTGAATTATTTGTTTCTAAGTATTTGAGTGGAGTGAATGTAAACTAGCTGGATAAGCTAGTTAAGAGCACAAGTTTTCCACTATAAACAAGCCTTTGAGGTGGCTCCCTTGAGTATTTACTAATAAACCTAGCTATCTAGCATACGTTACATAACGAAATCTAGTTACTTTGTCTTTGCGATTTTGTTCACGAGATTCACCGCTAAGGTTACTCATATAAGAAGGCTCCTTTATCAAGTTTCATTTTCTGGATTAACATCGCATCTTTACACAGGTAGTAATTTTGTCATTTTTGATCATTTTTTCTTAATATTTCTTATTTCCCTCAGTGAAATATCTTTAAACTTTGCCACTTTATATTAACGATATTGCTCAACATTTTTAAGTGGAAAAAACATGGGGTCGTTAAGACGGTTTTGCCAATATTTTGAAACTTGCAATTTTTCTTCATGGAGGAATTTAGTTCTTACAGATTTTAACAAAAAAAGGACAGTACCAAGGTACTGCAACTGGTAAGAAATGAGGCGATTTTTAAAAAAAAATTACCAAAGGAAACGCGAGAAATTCACGGTTAATTAACTACGTTGACGTCACAAAAATCCGAAAAACACGCGTGGTTCGGGGTTGTATGAGCAAAATACGAGCGCGAGCCATCATGCCCGCATGCGCATAATGCACAAAGCTACTGAAAACGTGGTTTCTTTGAAGAGTACGAAAGCCATTGTTTTGAAGCCGTTTATTAGTATTATTACGATGATATCTCGCCAGTTGAAAAAGGAGAGATAGCGGTGAGTTACAGTGAGTTGTTGAACATGTGCTCGACTGTCGTGTCTTGCTAATTCACTTTGTGTAGAATAACAACCCATTACGTTGGCGACGAGTACGGGATGTCGTTGCAAGTAACTCGAAAAGTCTTTGTGACAGATTTGCCGATTTTATGATGGCCTCCGCTCTTCCAAACGTCGATCCTTTTAATATCCATGCTGATGGTGCAATCGCTCAACGCTGGCGAAAGTGGATCAAACGTCTTGAAAATCTGTTGGTCGCTGCTGCCATCACTGATAAGAAAAGACAGCGAGCTTTGGTTCTTTACTACGCCGGAGAAGAGGTGTGTGAGATTTTTGAAACTTTAGTGGATACAGGTGACGATTTTACAACGGCGAAAGAAAAGCTCACGGAATATTTCGATCCGAAGAAGAATGTCGAGTATGAAATTTACACGTTTCTGCAAGCCCGACAAAACCCAGACGAGTCCATGAATGCATTTCACTCTCGTTTGCGTCAATTATCTGCTACTTGTGAATTTGATGACGTCGACAAGGAAATTAAATCGCAGATTATTTTATCCTGTTCATCACAGCGTTATCGTCGCAAGGCTTTGAGAGATACGACCATGACACTCGAGACCTTATTGAATGAGGCACGAGATCTGGAAATCTCGGAAACACAAGCAAAGGATATCGAATCGTCGGGAAATGTGGCTAACGCTGTGCTTCCTACTCCATCACAGCCGAAGAAAAATTGTTTCAATTGCGGTGGAATTTGGCCACACGACTCGAAGACGGATTGTTCCGCGCGAAATCGCAATTGCAGCGGCTGTCATAAACATATGGTCACTATGCGAAATGCTCCACACAAAAGTTACGTGAGACCCGAAATTCCCGAAAAGGCAGGCAGCCCCGTGGACGTGGTAATCCCAAGGAAAAGAAAAAACAAAATGTTAACCCATTGGAAGCCGAATGTGAGGAACGTGAGGCCTCGTCAAGCTCTGATGACGAGTATACATTCAGGTTAGAAGTCCCCTCCTCAAAGGTCGGTGCTCCTTTTGTCTCTTTGAAAGTGAACGGTGCTGTGTGCAAGTTCTTGGTAGACTCTGAGGCAAGTGTGAACATCGTTAGTTCCCATGCAGTTAAAGTTTTTGGTGTCGATCTGCAACCCTGCGGTACAAGGGTCTATGCCTTCAATTTATCTGCCCCGCTTCCCGTGATAGGCAAGTTCTCCGCCCTCATTGAATCAAAGTGTAGTGCAGTCGACGCTGAATTTCTTGTGGTGGAGAGTGAAACTTCTCTTCTGGGATACACCACGGCCACAGAGTTAGGAATCCTTCAGATTGCAAATGCTGTATCAGTGGAGAAAAACGTATTCTAGCTGTACCCTAGTCTGTCCTCTGGTCTTGGAAAAATGAAGAATGTTGAAGTTAAGCTGCATATCGATGTAAGTGTGAGTCCTGTTCATCAAACACATCGAAGAATTCCTTTTCACCAACGCAAATGCCTAGAGGCTTGTCTAGAGTCCTTGCTTCAACAGGACATAATTGAGCCTGCTGTTGGTCCAACCTCCCTGGATGTCTCCCGTTGTCTTAGTCCCAAAGCCAAAGCAACCTGGTGGTGTTCGTTTGTAAGTAGATATGCGTGAGGCAAACAAAGCTATCGAGAGAGAGCGACATATGCTGCCTACCCTTGATGAAGTGATACATGGTCTGAATGGCGGTACTGTGTTTAGCAAATTGGATCTAAATCAGGGCTATCATCAGTTGCTGTTGCACCTTGACTCAAGGCACAGTACCAAATTCTCTACTCACACTGGCTTATTCAGGTACCAGCGTCTCAGTTTTGGCATTAACACTGCTGCTGAAAAGTTTCAGAATGTGATTGCCTCTGCCATAAGTGACATTCCAAATGTTAAGAACTAAGTGATGATGACATAATCTATGGAGTGAATGTTCAGGAACATGATAAGGCTCTCCATGCAGTGCTGACTCGTTTCCAAGAGCTGAACCTCACTCTTCGCAAACACAAATGCCAGTTCTACATGCTTCGAATTGAGTTCTTTGGAATGGTCTTCAGTGCACAAGGAATGTCCCCTGACCCTGCTAAGGTGAAAGCAATTAAATAAGCTGACCCGCCAACCTCTGTAAGTGATGTCAGAAGCCTGCTTGGCATGACAAACTATGTATCGCGTTTTATCCATAATTATGCAGACCTCACCCGCAAAGGCGTCGAATTCAAGTGGCAAGAGGTCCACCAAAGGCGCTACACCAGCTGAAGTGCAGTCTCACCTCTGATGAAGTCATGGCTTACTTTGATCCTCACAAGAAAACTGTTCTGTTTGTGGATGCCAGTCCAGTTGGGTTAGCTGCTATGCTGACACAAAATGGCAAAGTGATCTCCTATGCCAGTAAGGCACTCTCCAGTGTACAACGGCGCTACTCCCAGATTGAACGAGAAGCATTGGCCATCACTTGGGGTTGTCATCACGTCCGGATGTACTTGCTAGGAAGCCACTTTAAAGTGATAACAGACCACAAGCCCCTGCTGCATATCTTCAACAGTCCCACTTCCCAATTTTCAGCAAGGATTGACAACTGGTGTCTGAAGTTGCAGTCATTTGATTTTGACGTTCTGTACTCTAGAGGGGATTTAAATCCAGCTGATTACATATCAAGACACCTTCAAGCTGCCACGCAGTGTGACCTGATGGCTGAGTCTGCAGAGCAGTATGTTAACTTTGTCATGACACAAGCCACGCCAAAGGGACTAAGCAAAGATGATATTATCAATGCTACAGCACAAGATGCCACTCTACAGGAAGTGATGCGTCTTATCTCAAATGGCCAGTGGAACAACCTGAAGCCAGTGAATGGAGTTGATCCAAGTACCCTTAAGATTTTTGCAAAGGTTTGGAATGAACTTACCTCAGTGGATGGTAACATTGTCCTTCGTGGAAATCGAATTGTAATTCCTGATGCTCTTTACAAGAATGTCATTGAACTGGCTCATGAGGGTCATCAAAGCTTAGTCAAGACCCACAGTTTGTTGAGATCCAAAGTCTGGTGTCCATAAATGGATGCTGCTGTTGACCATAGGTAGTATGTGTTGACCAAGTCGTAAAGAAGTGCTTTCCTTGTCAGATTGCTACACCAAAACCCTCCCGCGAACCGTTGAAAATGACCCCTCTGCCTGATGGTCCTTGGTAACAAGTGAGCATTTACTTTTGTGAAGTAGCAGGACATTATGTTCTAGTAGTGATTGATGATTACTCAAGATTTCCTGAAGTTGAGATTGTGCATTCGACCTCTGCGAAAGCGGTCCTTCCTAACTTGGATCGCGTATTTGCCGCTTATGGTGTGCCTCAAGTTGTTAAGTCTGATAACGGTCCTCCTTTTAATGGTCACGAGTTTGCCCAGTTTGCAGATTATCTTGGTTTCAAGCTCAATAGAGTTACTCCTATGTGGCCAGAGGCAAATGGCGAAGTGGAACGCTTCATGAAACATTTGGCAAAGTGCTCCGTACAACTTCTAACTGGAAGCAACCGATGTACCAGTTCCTGCGAAACTATCGAGCAACTCTTCATTGTACTACTGGTGTCGCTTCTGCCACTGCCCTGTTTGGAAGACCAATCAGGATCAAGCTGCCCTGCCATGATGCTGTTCCATGTGAGTCAAACTTGAGACCAGCACTAATGCGTGAGCATGATGCCCACCAGAAACTCAAGATGAAGACTCTCGCTGAGAGCAGGAGACCTATTAAGGATTCTGACATACAGGTTGGAGATACTGTGTTGGTAAAGCAACCAAAGACGGGGAAGTTCTCCACACCATACCATCCAGTACCACTAAAAGTCACAAACAAGAACCACAGTATGCTAACGGCTGAAGGAGGCGACCGGAGTGTGACTCGCAATTCTCCCCATTTTAAGAAGCTTCAAGACAATGCAGATCCAGTATCAGTTGACATCAACTCAAGTGCGGTCCCATTATCAGTTGACACAAACTCAAGTGCAGACCCAATACCAGTTGACACCAGCTCAAGTGCAAGTGCCCAAGCTGAATTCCCACTAAGGAGGTCTGCTCGTGTGTCTAAATCTCCCAGGAGACTGATTCAAGAAATGTGACTACGGACATTTTTGTTGTTGTTGTTGTTGTTGAACTCATGTTATAGTGTTTTGATTATGAACATTCGAGAACATCCAAGATTAAGTTTAAGTGACGTTCAGAGAACTTTAAACTAGGTCAGGACGTTTTCCAGAATAGCAGTCTTATTTGACCTACTAGTATTCATTTTGCTGCATGCTTTTGTTAGGAAAGTTAGATTATTATTTTGTTTCTTTTTTTGTTTGTTCATGTTATGTTTCAAACTAGAGGTAAGGGGAAATGTAATGTTTACGTCACGTGTTGCATGACGCGCGAAGCATGCCGGGTTGTTGAGGTTATAGTGAGTCGTTGAACATGTGCTGGACTGTCGTGTCTTGCTAATTCACTTTGTGTAGAATAACAACCCATTACAATACCCTGTCCAGTGGCACATTCATTCCCCGTATAGTATATAAGGGAGTACCCCCTGGGAGTAATTCACAGCGTTTACGTCGAACCATAAGGGCTGAAACATTTTCCTGAACAGGAAGGAAAAAAATGCTTACTGATACAAAGGATGATATATTGTTCTGTGTTGTTAAAAGTAATTTTGGCAAATATTCTCGGCTTGCACTGTCACGCAATGAAAAATAAAAATGCAAACCATTCAATACAGAAGGACTAGAATCTGGGAAATGAAAAAAGATAAATATACAAAAACCCTTGCCAAGAATCAGGTCTGTGAAATCTTTCAAATGCGAGATATTGGGAAAAACGGTTTACCTAAATTTATAAAGCTTTGTATGGAAACGCCACGTTGGTGTCCTTTTCAGGAACACCAATATGGCCGCCGGATACCAACAGAAACATCTGTTTTCGAGTTTTCCTACTAATGCGTGAATTCTTCGCTTGAGGAACTCATAAAGATTACAGTAATATTTATTCTGCGACAAGGAATGTTTAGATTGCAAAATCTCTCAAAATCGGTAACGTTTTTAACCCACATAAGAGCTTTCCCGGCCGCAGCTAAATGCCGCGTCACGCAGAAGCCTGGAAATTCAAGCGTCCTCTCTGGCAAAACGAAGAACTCTTTCGAACCAAAAATTTGTTTATGTAAGGTTGTTTAGGTGCTGTAATACCTCGTGAAAGTAGAAACTCAGAAGAAACGATAGTTTCTTAGTTTGATTTTTGGTGACGTCACGTGCAACCCAAGAATATCCGTTGGTTTGTTGGTCACATCGTTAACTATAAAAAATAAAAAAGTTAAGTCCAAAAAGCTTCAAAGGAATTAGCAAAACCAGAAAGTACTTGGTAGTAACAGCAGGCCCCACGTTTTCCCAACTAACTTTTTCTGCATGTATATGGATATGCATCGTCACGCTAACCATTCGGTAGAGAGGCCCTCTTCCGTTAACTCGACATTTTTCACTTCCGTCTGAAATCGTGACTATGTTCACGAAACCTCTTCTTTTCACCCTTTTTTTTACCGTGAATCAGTGGCTGGAATCTCATTGGTGTTAACCATTCAAATAAAAGCTACTGAGCAATGCTATTCTGTCGTATTGCATGCTTATTTTGCTGAAACCCTAGTGTGACCATTCAAATTAACGTTACTTAGCAGTTCGTTCCTGCGGTAGTGTTTATTTTGCTGCCAGTGAAGTGAAAGGCTTAATTAGCTGAGAAAAAAAATGATGGTAATTTTTCTTAGTTTCTTCATGTTTCTATTTTAGTAGCATCAGTGGGGTTGGTATAATTTGCGATCCTATGAGATTCTCCAGCTGGATGAACCCTTAATCTTTGCCGACTGGAGCAGAGTATTGCCTTAAACTTTTCCTTAAGTCGTTCGTTGACCAAGGTGTAAATAACCGGGTTGAGGGCTGAATTGAGCAAGACTATTGTGTTGCTAATGCTTCCATTGTATGGAATTCATGCGAGGGAAAAAAAGCGACCATGAGGTAGCCAACTGTGTTTGTCCCCCAGCACAGCCCAAAGATGATGCTGACAATGGAGACCACCAAGGTGACTCGCTTCCGAACCCTCATCCCACCCTACCAAGAAAAGAAGATCAATGCATTAATGCTCTTAGGCTGTGTTCACAATTGGTTCTCCATATAACTGGCAAGTGCCAGTACAAATTGGTGCTGTGTTCAGACAGTTGGTACCCGATAGTGCATTATATACACCGATTGATTTCAGCACATAAACACAGGTTACAACGCTGGTCACAAAAGAAAATCAACCAATTTATGCTTTCAGGCTGTGTTCACGCTTGGTGCTCGAGTACTGTTGCAGGAACCAACCCAAATTGGTGCTGTGTTCAGACATTTTGCACCGAATAGTGCATTACATACACCGATTGATAATCCCCTTAAATTTTCAGCACATAAACACAGGTCACAACGCCGGTCACAAAAGAAAATCAATCAATTTATCCTTTCACGCTGTGTACGCACTTGGTTCGCGAGTACTATTTCAGGCACCAACCAAATTTGGGTAGATATTTTTATACGTGCCTAAAAGCCCTTAATGATTGGTCAAGACAAAAACAATTCATTTTATTTCCCAGCCGAGGGAAACATTGAGGCTTCATTCAGTTGGGTCTCGGTGTAAAAAAAGCGGTTTCCCTTTCTCGTTTGGACCGATGAAAACGGGAATAAGCCACTTGCACCACCTTATTTGCTCCCCAAAATTTTGCATAAGCATTGTTTTCAATTTCTCTTGGGACGGCTGTAATACCCAGGAAAAATGAAAAACAAAGGTTACGCAAAATTTGGGAGGCAATTAAGGTGCATTACGGGAAATGTGGAAGTGGTGTATTCGGTTTTTCAAAACCATAACTTAAAAGCATCTTATCTCGCATGAGGTTGCCATATTTCATTGTCATTTGGCCATATTTTAAGGACTAATAGCACTTCTTAAGTCAATGTTTCCTTTACAAAGGTTTCATGTTTTCTGAAGACGACTTAACAAAACAAGACGAGCCAAAGGTAGAAGGACCTTGTCGACCTTGGCGGCTGTGTGAAACGGAGCAAGATGTAAAAAAGCTTGGCGAAAAAACTTTGCCTACCAAGCAAGCTTATTTTGGAGGAGCATTCAAATTAAAAGGAAAAATTGAGATCACTTAAGGCCAGTCCGGGTCATGTATCCGTTTTCAAACCAAAGGAGATGTGCTTGAACGGACGAAAAGATTCGAAATCTGTACTTAAAGACGAGTAATGAATACGTCAGAGTGGAAATGGCTTAAAAGAAGGTGACCACTGACTGACAGCAGGCTCACTTTAAACATTTTGGACTGGATGTTGAGTGGATTTTCTATCCTGAGAATACAGTCGTCTTTCCTTGCTTCTCGCCGCTAGGGACTTTTCGCCAGGAGGGACGTTGACGCCGCTGCGACAGAAATTCCATGCTGATGACGTAAATCAATATTTGCATGTTTTTATATTTCTCTTGGTCGATTATGGTAAAGTTCTGTGTCCTTCTGCGAAAGAGCTCCAGCAAAACTCGGATGATTTTTCTAAAGAATAATAAATTCCAGGAATATTGAATATTGTAGTAGATTCATCACGTTTACATTTGACCTTTGTGGCCTTTTGTCTTTTGTCTGTCATTGGTAAACAGCAGGTAAAACAATATAACTACTACGTCAACCAATCAGAGTTCCTGACCAGATTCTCGACAGATTTTACGTCATCAGTATGGAATTTCTGTCGCTCCCTAGAGGCGAGGAGCAAGGAGAAACGGCTGTATTTGTAGGATAACATTTTTCTAACCTGTTGTTTGAACTACAGGGTGTAAACGTCTCGCGAATACAAGGCAATCATAACCAAGACTGGGAGCAATTCCTAAAATAGAAACCAAGACATTAACTGAGAAGTTTTCCCATCCATTCTTCTGGAAGCAAATAAATGCATCCACCAATTTCCTCGACGGAGACGTAATGTAAAAAGACGTTTTAGGCGAGGACTAGCTGTAGCCTTTTCACAAATAATACAACTTCTCTTTGATTCAGGTCGTTCATTCACTTACAGCTCCTTCCTAGGTTTACAATTCTCTCTTCAATATGGTTGTCGTTCTCTCTCTATATTGTTATCGCACCTTGCTTTTATACCGACCAGCAAACCCATCTTCTCAGTTCAAATTAATGCTTACACAAGTCTTTTATGTTTGGCTAGAAGTGACTTATCCCGCAGGAAACCTTCGAGGCATCTCAAATTTCACTGTTAAATTTGGGCTTTCCGGTCAGTACGAAACAAGGAGAGCAATATAAAAATTACAAGGTGTCGAGTATTATATACTAGGACTTCTACAATACTAGTTAAGAAGGCTTTAAAGTTGTTGTTTGAAAATTATACGGAATAGTCGATCTAGGTAATTTTAAGGTGTCAAGCTTCTTCTTCGAATGTGATTGGCTAAACTGGTTGATGAATTAACTATGCGATGCCAAAAACACAACCGTACGGGTCTGATTACAACACGGGTGGCTAACAACTTCTTACAGGTCATTTACAGCTTGAAGACTCAATACAGCTATGATCTGACAGGGACTTATCTTAACTATTATTATTTAAATACTTTGCACGGAGTTGGTATTAGTTGATTATAAATAACAATTTCCATTGCTTGCATTTTTATTGTTTAACAGTAAGACAAGAAAGCTGGGACTTTGAGACTCACTTCAAAGATCCATTCAGGAACAAGGTACAAGTACCTGGGAAAACATGTCATGAAAAGAAAAACATTCAAAGAGGACAGACGGCAAATTGCTGTTCCTCGAAAAATCTATAAGTCGTAAATGTTTATCAGTAGGATGCCTAAAATGATTATTTGTGCAATTCCAACATGGTTTCAGGCTCCATTAAATCCTAGACCAACTGGGACAACATTTTAGGAGGAGCCACCCACAATGTGAGCTCAGTTACTAGCAAGTTGATGACCACATTCAGGCCCGTAACCAGGATTTTATGTGGGGGGGTGCTAACGAGACCAAAGTGGACCAAACTACCGAAATGTAGTTTTTATTGCCTGATCCGTTTATTTAAGG